ACTTTGCATATAAATTGATTCAACCACTTAAGAAAACCCTTTGGAACTACCCCAGGAAGCATACGTATTCCTATATACCCAATAATCCCATCTCAAACATAAACGGCTCAGTAGAAATACCACAAACAGATATCCAACAGAGGACAATAAATGTTCCCAAAATAAGTGAAAAGACCTTATAATAACAAGAAATATGTCAATTAATGAAACAATTTTTATACCTGATAAATTCTCAGTGTATATGAAAATGTGTTGGTGAAGATACTGTGTCAACAGGAACTTTTCATATAAATTGATTCAACCACTTAAGAAAACCCTTTGGAACTACCCCAGGAAGCATACGTATTCCTATATACCCAATAATCCCATCTCATCCATAAAAACTCTCACATTTTTACAAGAAGGTATTTATAAGAATATTCAAACAGCTTTATTCATAGTAGAAAAAATAGTTATAAACCAATAAAATTTCCACCAATGTCAGAAAAGCTACCCGATTGGAGAATTATTGCACATAAGTAAAAATACAGAGTATTGGAAATAAGTTAATTACTGCTACACCCAACAATATGATTGAATGTCAAAAGTACAATTACGAAAAAAAGAATCAGAACAAAAAATTCATACATTAAGATTCAACTTTTCACTGGTAAGAGGCAGATTTATACATTGGGTAAGAATACAATGATAGGGTGCTAAGATGATGAGGTTTAATCCTATTGCCAGTTTTATACAGAAAATATTCTCAAATACTGGCAATTTGATAGAAATCAACCTAAAGAAGATCAAAGGAAATGATAAATATGGAATTCAAGATGGTGTTTTCCACTGGGAGGGAACAGGGAGGTATGAGTGGGAGACCCTTCAGGTGGGTTCTGTGATGACACCATTGCTTTATTTTTTTTAAACCCCAGATAGGTATAATTATCATCATTGTGCTCCTCTTCTTTTTCTTCTTCTTTTTTTTTTTGAGACAAGGTCTCCTTCTGTTGCCCTGGCTAGAGTGCAGTGGCATCATCATAGCTCACTGCAACCTCAAACTCCTGGGCTCAAGCGATCCTCCTGCCTCAGCCTCCCCAGTAGCTGTGACTATAGGCGTGCACCACTACGCCTGGCTAATTTTTCTATTTTTTGTACACATGAGGTCTTGCTCTTGCTCAGGCTGGTCTCGAACTCCTGAGCTCAAGTGATCCTCCCACCTCGGCCTCCCAGAGTGCTAGGATTACAGGTGTGAGCCACTGTGCCCAACCTTTGTGTTAGAGCGCAGTGGCTTCTCTCAGAACTACAGATGGATTTTATGCACTATTTTGTGTACGATAATTAACAAGTAAAATTGAGGAAAGGTCTTCTGTATTCCTAATTCTACACACATTTTCGTGTGTTCTAATATTAAAGTCCCAAGTCTCAGACGTCAGAGGTCATCGGAGTCTTACAACGTGCTTAGTAAAAATTCTCATCCCTCATGTGTCTCTCAGAGGTTTAGTGTCTGCAGTAGTTGATTGACGTAAGAGAACCTGTGGTACAAAGACCTCAGGTGATGCATCTCTGAAGCTGTTCTAAGGACACCAAACAAACGGCACAAGAAGACACCGGCAGGGAGCTGTTTCCCAGGCGTGGTGCTGAAAACAACACCGCCAGATCCATCTCCCATGTAGACCACAACAGTCATCACACTGATGTCTCTTTGAGACTCCACTGTTTCCCCCATACCCATGCAGATAATTCTTATCAATGACTCCACTTTTTTGAGCTAATGGGAAAAGTATTGTAAGATTGTACTGTATTGTACAAGTATTGTAAAGATTGTAAGATTGTACTACCCCAAATCTTCCTAACTTAATTCCCTTTATTTCTCTCTTGTCCTACACTCAACATCTGCTTCTCAAAGCAAAGTAGTTTTCCAGAAAATAACTTTCCTCATAAAGACACATTAAAAAGTTTACAGGAGGGCCCTAAGATGGCAGCCAATCCTTTAAGATGTCAAACCCATGATGAATTTTACTTGATTATGTTTCTCTGTGTGGACTCCACTAAAGATCAGTAAGAAACACAACAAGGGAAGATGGCTTAGGGGAAAAGTGAAAACTCAGACATATTCCTATCAAATAAATCAACGAGAAGGTTTCAAAGCCAATAATATGCCAGAAGGATATTACCAACTTTTGCCCAGACTACCTAGTAATTATTTATTTTATCTTATTGCTCAGAACAGAAAAAGCAGCCAATAAAACAAACCTAATTGTTGAAGTAAGTGGTAAAAATATGGGAGACCAATGAGATTGTAAGATTATGAATATATCTGCTGGGCACAGTTGTTCATGTCTGTAATCCCAGCACTTTGGGAGGCTGAGGCGGGAGGATCGCTTGAGGCCAGGAGTTCGAGACCAGCCTGAGCAAGAGTGAGACGCCATCTCTACTAAAAATAGAAAAAATTAGCCGGGCATGGTGGTGCGTGCCTGCAGTCCCAGCTACTCAGGAGGCTGAGGCAGGAGGATCGCTTGAGCCCAGGAGTTTGAGGTTGCTGTGAGCTATGATGCCACCACTGCACTCTACCCAAGGTGACAGAGTGAGACTCTGTCTCAAAGAAAAAAAAAAAAAGAAAAAAATATCTGTTCTACATAGAGTTTCTACTCCTAGCAGGCCCACAGAAGGATAGTCAATTTTCTGTCTCCGGGCATCATGATGCATCTTTCACGGCTATGTGGGTCCATGTGGAAAACCAGTCCTAGCATGAACCTGCATCAGGAAGGACTGGATAAACCCCTACCCTATTGTTCCGGTACATTCCCTGCCTCTGACTTCCTTGTAATGAAAGACAGTGTTCTCATTGCGTACCCACGATTAAATCAAAGTTTCTTCTTAGAAACAGGAGCTTCCCCACTGATCAAGTCCAAATATCTCAAATCCCTGTAATAATCTAATTATAGCAGCTTTATTGACAATGAATCTCAGTATTGCTGGTGTTCCCGCTGCCCTGCACAGAGACCAGTCACAGGAATTACTGAATTGGACAATGAAAGATCAGCACCCATATCTCATAGTAGCCTTAACTCTGGGGTGCAATCCGCATGGCCCTCTTCATGAGATCGGGCAGAATCCAGTCTCTGCTAACCACAACCTCATTTTGATCCTTTCCCTGCCCCCTCCAACATCTCCCATTTCCCTTCCAACAAGTCCATTCCCCACAAAATCGCTATAACAAGAACTCATGATCAGGTTTGTTTTCTATTGGCAACGACCAAACGCACTGAGGATAGGGAATAGAACTCACGTTCGAAACATCCTAGAGCTATATAAAATGCAAATCAGATTTCAAGCCAAGTTAAAATGTGTTTACCATTATGTGAACTAGTCCTTTTAGAATAACTTGGTGATGAGAAGTATCAGGCACCAGTGTACCTTTCACTTCGACGCCTTCTAGAAACCCTAGCCCCAAACAGATGACACAGTCACGGAAAAGAAGGTATCCTACCCACGAGTTTCCTTATAGCTTCTGCCATGTCCCTGTTCCTCAGGCTGTAGATGAAGGGGTTCATCATGGGAGTGACCACAGTGTACATCATCGAAGCCACTGCCGTCTTCCTGGGAGAGTGCGTAAACACAGAACTGACATAAACCCCCAAACCTGTCCCATAGAAAAAGGACACAACCGAGAGGTGAGACCCACAGGTGGAGAAAGCTTTATACTTTCCACTTGCTGACGCCATTCTCAAAACAGAGGAGGCAATTTGGGTATAAGAGAAAATGATCCCAGACAGAGGAACACCTCCAAATACGCCAGCTGCAAAATATATCAGGATGTTGTTGATGAGCGTATCAGAACAGGCGAGCTTGATGACTTGCACAACCTCACAGAAGAAGAGGGGTATCTCCAGGTCTGCGCAGAAGGACAGCCGCAAGACCATCAGATCGTGGAGCAGGGTATCCATGATGCTAATAGACAGGGAGAGGAGGATCAAGAGGCCACAGAGACGAAAGTTCATGATGACCGTGTATCTCAGAGGGTCACAGATGGCCACATAGCGGTCATAAGCCATGACTGCGAGGAGAAAATTTTCCAAAGTTGCAGAAATCAGAACAAAGTACATCTGGGTGAGGCAGCCCGCATACGTGATGCTCTGACTCCGTGTTTGGATGTTTGCCAGCATCTTTGGGACGGTGGCTGTGCTTAAACAGATGTCAGTGAGGGAGAGATTGGAGAGGAAGAGGTACATGGGGGTGTGGAGGTGGGAGTCCGAGATGACAGCCAGGAGGATGAGAAGGTTTCCCAGGACGGTGACCAGGTACATGGACAGGAACAGGCTGAAGAGGACGGGCTGAAGCTCTGCGTCCTGTGTCACCTCCAGCAGAAAGAATTCTGAAACAGTCGTTTCGTTGCTGGGTTCCATGTTTTCCGCTGAAAAGACAGGCTGACAAGACGACAAATACATATTCTCTAGACCAACAAGTGGAGTGTCACCAGTGGTAGACACCATGGTGGGAAGGGAAGAAGACTAATCAAAGACAATATAAAAGGTGTTCCTTCTCTATGTATATTATTTTGTTACTTTTTAAAAAAGGCATGAAGTCGAATTAACAAAGTGTCAACACTTGTTAATTCTGCAAAGAGTGAAGGGGTGGCCATTTTGAAAAATAATTACACTGTCTACATTGTTCTGATTATTTACCACGTTTGGGTAATTTTATAAAGAGTAACAGAGAGACTAGGGAGTCTGCTTGACGATTCTACGTGGATCCCCAGAGACCTCAGAGCCAAGAAACAGAGACAATACAAAAACATGTCAGGTGGCAGGAAAGGGGAGGTAAGGTGTTGGTTACCAACGTTTCTGTCTACCTACGTTATACGATTATAATGAAATGTCAGAGGATTTTAGAACACTCTCCTATCTGAGAAGCAGATGACGGCTCAGGAAAAGGAGGTTGTTTTCACCGCCTGGCAGCAGAGACAATACACAGGTGTGTTTGAAAATCAGGAATTGGAAGATAAGGTGTGACTAACCAGGCCTTCCTGCTGTCACTGCTACGAGAATTAAGTACAAGTCAAAGCATTTTGTAACAGTCACCATGTTCAGGAAGGAGCGTATTCCTGCTAAGAAGGAAAATGGTCTTGGTCGTTACAAAGAGAGGGGAGGAGACTGGCAGGGTGGGGGTTGTTTGAGGATTGGGGAAAAGGTACAAAGGAACAAGTAAAGATGATGGAAGACAGGTAGGCAGGAGACCCACGGGGACTTCGTTCTAATCAATCGTATCCATGTACTCGCCTCACATCACCCTGGATAAACTTATAGTGAAATACCTGTTCTCGTTTCCAAACATTAAGGGACATTCGGTTACCTGGATGACATCACTGAAGAAGGATGCTTGACATCTCCCCTAGATGTTGAATGATGAAGACTGAAGATCTGTCCTCAGGAAGGGCAAAGGGACCAACAGGGACACCAGGCTTCTGGGCAAGAGGAATCACATCTAGAAGGATGCTCAAGTGTGCTGCTTCTTTAATGGGAAAGGAATTTTTTAAAAATTTACTTATTTTATTTTATTTTGTAGAGACAGGGGTCTTGCTATGTTGCCCAGGCTGGTCTGGAAAACTCCTGGCCTCAAGCGATCCTCCTGCCTCAGCCTCCCAAAGTGCTGGGATTACAGGCGTGAGCTGAAAAGGACTTTTAAGTGTGGGTGTTACAGACAGACTAGACTACTGGAAGTATCTCAACCCTTGAGGGACCAATATCCACAGCTCCTCATTAGTCAAACAATGTTATTATCATTCTGATCCCAGAGCAGTGCAAATCCTCAAAGATCAAAACTCTACAAGGGCGGAATTCAGGATGGCTTGTTCCCCGACCCTATGAGGTCAGCTGTAAGCCATCGACTTCCCTCCACCAGTGTCTGGTCACCTCCATTTTGCACACCTTGCAAACGTAGACACACCATATTTCTCTAATTGGTTTTTTAGTCTTTATTTTAGGTTCAGCCAATGGCAAATCTATGTATTCAATGATATCATGATTCCTGATTACAATTTTAGGTGTGGGAAAAGAAAAGTGTTGAGAACACTTGACACTTGCATTTTTCAAGAATACAAGATATGGTCATTAATTACGGTTAATATCGTCCATGGTGGACAATAGGTCTCTTGCACTGATGCTCTCTATCTAACCACGATCATACATCCTTTGACCAACATCTCCCCATCCACCCCAACCACCCCAGCCTCCGGTAACCACTATTTTACTGTTTCCACGAGATCAACTTTTTTTAGATTCAACATCCGAGTGAGATCGTGCAGTATTTGTCTTTCTGTGCCTGGTTTATTTCATTTAGTGTAATGGCCTCCAGGTTCATCCGTGTTGTGGAAAATGACAGAATTACCTTCTTTTTTTTTAAGGCTGAATAGTATTCCATTGTGTATACAGACCATGTTTTCTTTATCCATTCATTTGTTGATGGACACTTAAATTTATTCCATGTCTCGGCTACTGTGAATAGTGCCGCAATGAACCCAGGAATACAGATATCTCTTCAGCACACTGATTTCAATTCCTATGAAAGTCAAGACTACAGACATATAAGCAACTATAATTATATATACACACACACAGACACACACATATGTGTGTATGTACGGATACACACACACAGTTGGCCCTCAATATCCACGCTTTCCACATTCATGGATTCAACCAATCTTTAATCAAAAACATTTAAAAAAATAACAGTACAACAATAAAAACAATACGAATTAACAAACAATATAGGGGCCAGGTGCGGTGGCTCACACCTGTAATCCTAGCACTCTGGGAGGTCCGGGCAGGAGGATCACTTGAGGTGAGGAGTTCGAGACCAGCCTGAGCAAGAGCAAGATCCCATCTCTACTAAAAATAGAAAAATTAGCTGGGCGTGGCGGTGCACACCTCTAGTCCCAGCAACTGGGGAGGCTGAGGCAGGAGGATCACTTGAGCCCAGGAGTTTGAGGTTGCAGTGAGCTATGATGACGCCACTGCACTCCAGCATGGGTGACAGACAGAGTGAGACCTTGTCTCAAAATAAATAAATAAATAAAAATTTAAAAAGAAATTCTTGAAATGTACTGGTGAGAGAATTTGCACCACGGAATGCAGCCAGTGCTACACATCAGAACTTGTACTGACTTCCTAGCAAATCATTGCCTCTAAGTGATCAATTTCTTCATCTCTATTATGGGTATGATCATGTTGCAGCCCACCCAGGTCCCTTGCCCACAGCCCAGTAAAGGCCAATATGCAGAAACAGCAGGATTTGTAGTGGAGAAAGCGTTTACTTTCGCAAGGTGCCAGGCAAGGAGATGGGAGTAATTTCTCAAATCCATCTCCCCAAGAATTTGGAGGCTAAGGTTTTTAAAGGTGGTTTGGCCAACAAAGGGCTAGGGAATTGGGTCTGCTCATTGGCTGGGGGTGAAACTCATAGGGTTGGGAAGCAGAAATCGTCTTCTCATCTGGGACATTTCCTGGGTTGGGGGGGTCTCAAGGCTTGCTGGATCTATTCCCACGCCTGCCCACGGATCCAGCTGATGTCAGTGGGTCCCCCTGACCCTGAAGGCAGAGTCTGAAAAATACCTCAACGTCCAGTCTTAGGTCTTACAATGGTGATGCTATCTCTAGACGCTGTGGTGGGGAAGTCACAAATCTCGCCCCTGTCAAGAAGGGGGTAAGTGCCACCGAAGCAGTAAGCAGTTACCGCAGTGGGGAATGGGGAAGTTAGGGAACAATGGCTGGTTAACTTCTGGCGATCGCTATACTGTCAGAGAAATCAGACTTTCATTACTATTTTCACCTTATGGCTTTACATTATTTTAATATAGGCGGTTTCGATCATAGCATCTAACTCATAGGTTGAAATAATTTCTTGACTCATACTGGTGATCTTTACTCAGCTCTTATCTGGGTCTGATATGGTGTTAAGTAAGTAAGCCACAGTGTGCAAAGACTGATGAGTTATTCTTTGAATTTATGTTTTTACATCTCTACCTTTTGTAACCAGAAAACAACAACAACAAAAAAGCGGACAAGTTCTTGTTCTCTTGGGGTTGTAATTCACAGACAGAGTGGACTTTAATCACATACTTGCCCAAGTCTTGAGTCCCGGTACAATCTTGGATGAGCTCTGTTAATGACAGGAACACACATGAGAAAACCCCAAACAAATGTCGATGGAAAAACCAAATTCTGCCAAAATATTTTATGAGGTTTATTCTGAGCCAATATGAGCCATCATGACCCGAAAGGCACGCTGGTCTCAAGAGGTCCGGAGACAATGCACCCGCGGTGGTTGGGTTGCAGTTTGGTTTCATACATTCGTGGAGACAGGAATGACAGGTAAAACCATAAATCAACACACGGAGGGAAATCGCAAAGCAGGGGCTTACAAGTCACAGGTGGGTTTTGGGGACTCTCTAGTTGGCAATTGGAGGTAAAACCATAAATCAACACACGGAGGGAAATCGCAAAGCAGGGGCTTACAAGTCACAGGTGGGTTTTGGGGACTCTCTAGTTGGCAATTGGTTGAAAGAGTTAAACTTTGTATAAAGACTTGGAGGCTTACATGAAGATGGTGGCCGGGGGCGGCAGGGGATGTCTGCTGTTATCTGTCATGGGATGCTATTTTCCGGTTGGAAAATAAGCTACATTAAACCGGGCTAATTAAAAAAAAAAACCATTTAATGAGATTGTATGGTTTGTAGGCATGACCCACCAGGTCTAAGAAAGGAATCTGGGCAAGAGATAAAAGGTCAGAGTTCAGTACTCACCAAGAACCTGGCCCTAGTGTGGGATTTACGGGGGGCTACCCTGAGCAGATGCTCCTAGAACAAAAATCTAGAAGCTGTGGAGATGGCAATAATTAGTGTTTCCAACCAGGGTACAGGGAGAATTTTTAAGATTACAGATTTTTGAAAAATTTTTTATTTTTATTTTTTTGGTTTTTTTGAGTCTGAGTCTTGCTCTGTTGCCCAGGCTGTAGAGTGTGGTGGCATCAGCCTAGCTCACAGCAACCTCAACTCCTGGGCTCAAGTGATCCTCCTGCCTTAGCCTCCCGAGTAGCTGGGACTACAGGCATGTGCCACCACCTCCGACTATATTTTTCTATTTTTAGTTACCCGGCTAATTTATTTTTATTTTTAGTAGAAATGGGGTCTTGATCTTGGCTGAGGCTGGTCTCAAACTCCTGACCTGAAGTGATCCTTCCGCCTCGGCCTCCCAGAGTGCTAGGATTACAGGTACAGATTTTCAAACGTATTTTAAACATATATTTTAGAAGATAAGGGGACTTCCAGTACAGGTGGGACGTGGTAAAGGGTGATTGTCGTTGCTGTGGGGCATCTCAGTCAGCCCCTGGCTGTGAGCTTCAGCTCTGG